AAATTTATATCTAATTCAATAAAAAAGGGTGTTTAAGTGCTTCAGCCGCCGTAATTCGTTTACTTGGATATGGTTCAAGACATCTGTTCAACAAATCAATAGCATTATAAACTTCATTTAGCAATTGTTTATTATCTTTAGGAAACAAATCTCGTCTCATCGTATGTAGAAGTTTATCAAATCGCAGCCCTGGATCATATATCAGCGGAATATCAGTTCGGAAGTACCTTTCTTTAAAAGTTAATATAAAATTTTTGTATTAACATATCGATAATATAATATTGCTTTTTTTTATACTTAAAAATTTTTTCATACCATGTTCTGTTGCTAAATCATGCATCAACTTTTTCCCAAATAAGATTCCTAATTCATAAAATGCATCTGCATCATCAGTTGATTTGAAAAATGGATAATGGTGTGATAATATGGTGATCAGGATGACACCCGCTGACCAAATGTCGATTGCTTTTTGAATAGATTTATAAGTTATCAAAAATATTCGCGAACGTTTTTCCAAGATATTATGTAACTTACCGTTGGTTTGATTTTCAACTCTAAATAAAACTTCTGGCGCACGGAAACCTCTTGTACCTGCTCTATTTGCTTTCCATCCAGGTTTATTCTCATAACCCTTCAGGTCCAAATCAATGAATCCTCTTTTCGTCCTATCAATGTTTATATCATTACATTAACTATGACAAGATATTTTTAAGTAGACAGTCATATAATAAATAAATAACCACAATTCTTCAATCATTTGCTGTTTGGTCAACTTTTTCGAAGATGCCAATGTACGAATTCGTTTTACTGCAGGTTTGTTTGATTGAGAAGGCTCGATCGAAATTTGACCAACTACCGAAGGAAAACGGTTAATAACTTGGATTGTTCCTACATTGGGAACATCATGTCCTTTATCGTGGTAGGATTTAGAAGTACCCAACCTCTAGACATACATACATATATGTAAGGAAAGAAATCATTTGACATAACCGAAATATAATAAAAATGAAAAATAGACAATACCTCTGCCAGGCCAAAGTCCACTAAGATTCCTTTCTTTTCTTTCACGTTATAAAGAAAATTACCCGGCTTCACATCTCTATGAACAATATTATGAGAATGTGTATCCCTTAACGCTTCAAAAAGTGACCGAAAGTACGATTTGATATCTTCAATTGTCATTTTTTGATAAAAATCCTAGCATAAATAACCAACTAAAACATAAATCATACGTTGGTGTTTAATGTTCTGCAACTGTTTTGATACTTACTCTAAATCTATCATGCTCGAAGTGTGGAGTAATGAGAATCACTTCATCTTCATATCTATGAGCTGACAAAAGCTGAATGATACTATTATATCCTCTGTAGTATGACCGTGTTAATCAACGTAGTTGATAAAAAAATTAACGCGGCGTGTAAATTAAATATGGCTCTCCCACCTTAATTCACGTAAAATTGAAATTTCCTCCGCAACTCTTTCGACCGAATAATTAATAATTATCTTTTTTATAGCGACATCTTTTATACCTTTAAAAACATCATCATCCACGAGTTTACGTTTTATCCCATGCTTTTCTTCTATATTAGTCATTATAGGTGATGGACTCCTACTACCATATGCTGAATCAGTATTCTCATTTCCTTCATATCGTAACTTACGCGCTTTGTATACCGCACCAAAAGTACCTACAAAATTTTTTTGTTTTTTTTTTTAACATTAGAATCATCAAACGCGTTTAATTCATTCCGGCACAAATTTAATTCACTCGCGTAAAATGATATTTAAAACCATATTAATTGCTTGATACAATTTTGAAGGTAAAATAAATAAATAAAAATAACTTGCCGACTCCAACTCTGTCAACTACTTGTAATATTCCTTCAAACATTGGAAATTTTTTTAAAACTTCGTTTAGTTCTTTTTGAAGGGCTTCAAGTTCCCCCATTCTCGTAAAATAGATCGGAATGTTCTATAGTAGCAATAAAGAAGTCAAAGATAAAGTGAGCACATTATATATCTTCAAAAGTCGAAATTAAATCAACATTGTTTATTATTGATAGCATTTGTACACTTGCCAATTATGGAGAATTTATAACGCGTATTGAATATCCCAAATAACGCGTTTGACAATGTATAAAGCTTGAATTTTGAACTAACTGCTAATATATCTGATATAACTCGTATACTCGTACGGAGAGCTCCTTAAATTTACAGACTGGAATACATCGGAGTGTACTAGCATTTATAATTTCTATAAGTTTTTGCTTATAACGCGAAAATATAATCTGCAGAAATATAGTATTGGAGATTTTTCAACAATCAGTTACACAATTGATATGATTTTTTTCCTCATTTTCATTTATTTATTGTGCATAGGACTAACCAAAAAATGATTAAACTGTGTTTCATGTGATACTCATAAGCGATCACTGATCAAACCATCACTTTTAATCACACCATGTTTATATCTTATTGGCTTAGATTCTATTTAATCTCATCAATAATCACTAAAATTTCAAATTTCCGTCCATATGTTCTTAATCGTACTAGGAAAGATTTACAAGAAATATGAAGAACTAAAAAGGTTATAGCATAATGGTCAATATTTATGATTTTGTCAGCTGAATAAAAGAGTCCTTATATCGTGATGCATATATCAATATAATTGGAGTTAGCTACGTTACACTTAAATTGCTATCCAATCACAACGATGATTACAGAGCGTGGAACGTCTCCTGCCTAAATTATTTTAAACATTTCGGCATTGCTAAATTTTTTATACGAAACCCTTCAAAAAATTTTGCCAAATTAATTTCTGGGCAATTTAGGCACATGTATATCA